CAATTGTCAGAAAGCCCTCCCTGCCCAGTGTCAAAGATGATAGTCCTGGGGAAACGTGGTGATATAAACATTGCTTGTCCTATCATGATGTAAAATGAAAGAAGATAAAAGGTTAGTTCTTAAATACACTCCTTTCAGAAGTCATAACTTCATTAGAAATATACAAAAGTATAACAGTATGTAATTAAAAAGCCTCCCTAGAAGCATACCTAAGTAACGGCAACTACATCACTTATCCATGTCCTAGTAAAACCTGGCACTCACTCCCAAAATAAACAACAATGAACACTGGCAGCTCGGCTTCTGGATGACTCTGTTTCCATTGGGTCCCACCACCTACTATGGACTGGAGCAAATGGAAGTAGGGATCAGAACAGGGAGTCTGCTCCTCAGCATGCTGAGGATGATTGAGGTAGGAGGAGGAATCAAGCAAGGACTGAGTTTCCATCTTTGCCCTACTCTTCTAGCCCTGCAGGAGGCTCCTGCTCAGAAGCTAAGACATACAGTCTGGGTTCTATCCTTTACCTGTATAAAAAGACCAAAGAATATCATAGGCTGGGTGTACATGGCCATGTACTGATTCTAAGAACTTTCATCTCATGTGGTTTTTTATTAATGAGGAATATGACCCTTGCCCAAAAGCATGAATGTCAGTTGGTAGAAGGAAATGTATGTCAGCCCACAGGAAAATGCCAGAAGAGGAATAGGAAAACTCCTGAACTTCTTAGACCAAGATGATGTATCACTCAGTCTTGGAGTCTCTACCTTTCGATTGAAACAGAATCCACTTTATAAAATGCTATCTAATTTAGGGGGACAACCATTATAGCAGTAGTTCAGTGTCACTCTGAGTATCACCTATACTCAGTTACACTACATGATGATTTCAAATAAACCCATTAAACAACATTGCTATAGCAAGAGTCTAGTCTTTGGCTAGCTAATATGTTGCTTCAATACAGGCCTGCAAGTCTCTGCTCTCAAAATCATCTCCTACTTAATTCACAATAGATGCCTGAAATAGTGAAGGGTAATTCTATGAAAATAGTAAAGTTCTTCCCTAATGTGTTCAGTCAATTTTAAGCACCAGTTATCTTGCACATTTTTCAACTGTTCCCTTCCAAAGACTAAGAATTTCTTATACTTTATATATTTTAGCATTGTTGCCTATCACACATAGGTAAATTGTTGTTTAAAAGCTGCAATGTTTAAACAGAAATAAAATTTATGCTTGCAGTGGTAAATATTCCTAGATGAATAGAGTTGCAGCAGATGACAGACTCTTAAAATTGACTGAAGTCTGTGATATTAGAAAGACAGAAAATTTATCTAGTTTTAGCAAATGTCAAATCAGTGGCTATTGCTTTAAAGATTAATAAAAGATATAATGGTTTCTAGATAGCCTCTAAATAGAGATTACTATGAATGGAGAAGTGATTTACCAACAGTCACCACAATGAGATTTCTTTAAAGGTTACAATCATCAGTTATTTAGCTGAAACACTGCTGAGAATGCCTGGTCATTTCTTGAATAATGCATAATGTTCACTGTAGATTTGATCTGTATTATAACAATACAGATATTTCTAAAATAATGGAAAAAACTATCTGTTACCTTCCAATTGCTTAACATATCATTTCCATGGAGTAATTGACTTGGGACATATTACATACTGTCACCTGAGTGTTCTTTCTGCAAGCATAACTTGTAATAATCTGTATACAATGGGTACCACAAAACAAACTCATCAACCTTTATAGACTGTTAAGAAAAGATGTGATGAGTACTGCACAGGGCACAGTAAAGGATCTTTCTGAAGCTGTAAATTAAAATGATTAAATTCTATATAGTTGTGTGGGACAAATTTAAAGCTTTGAAATTTAATTATTAACATGATCAACTCATCACATTAAAAAATGTTGCCACCACAATGTAAGTACTTTTCATACAAATTTCCAAATGCCTTTAGGTTTATTCATAGATTGCTTGGAGAAGCACAAAGTATAATGTCTATTGTTTTATTGTTGGATTATGAATTGCACTTCACATGATGCTGCAGGCTATTTATATAAGCTTGTTTATCCATATGAACTTCTTCAAGGGCACAACATAGAAGACCTTAATAAATTAAAATGAATTTCTTTTGATGTTATTGTTTCATGAATGTTTGATCAGAATGAAGAGCAGTTTTGCATTAAAGAACTAGAGTAAAGCAATACAATGAACATATATTTGACAGGAGAAACAGTTTATAGAAAGTGCTCCTTATATTTCTAGCTGCTTTTGAGAGCCAGGGTCAACGGTAGAGAGTTATTATATTTACATCTTCATTTCGACCCTATCGCCAGTTTACTAATAATGAAAGAGTACGTGTACCAATTCAGATGCTCTGCCATCATCTGCATGGAATTTTAAATATTAAAAAATTTGTTATCTCCTTCCAGGTTTCTAAACACGCATCCCCACGACCCTGTTTTTCTCAGTGACACTACCATACCATTCCAGAAACTGCAACAATGTGGGGCAGCAACCACATTTTATCTTCTTTTTATACATCTTAATCATAAGAAGAAGTTACAGAGCTGAACTGATTGAAGGCCACGAAATAAAAATGTATTAGTCACAGTCTAAAGCTGAAAAAATTCTCACCTGAAACATTTGATGATGGTGATATAGAACGAATATTACCCAAAGTAATGATAAGAAGTGATGGAACACTAGACAGAAAGGCAAAAAAAAGTGGATTCTTGCCTTATATGCTAACACTGAACTGTAAAGTCATTTCCACTTTACATTTGCCTCATCTAATTATCTCTGATAAAATGAGGGAATGGTTACACATAATCTATACATTTGCATGCCTCAAACGCCATGATTCTAGAAGTAAACTGGACTAAATGGACAAACAACAGAACCATCACATTTTTCCACTTTGGTAGCCATTACTGCCAAGAAGGCCTATCCACTACAAACTCCTTTAACAATGAAAATAAACAAATAAAAACTTGTTAAGTTAAATAAATACAAGTCCAGTCCATCATTTCATTTGAATGTGTGTTTTTCGAACTTCTATATCTGAATAATTATTACATATTTTTCACATGGTATGGTTCCTAATCTGTTACCTTCCTCCTTTTATCTTGTATGATTTGGAGAGCCTACGCCTCAAATTAGAGTGAAAAAACTTATCTAATGTATATTTACTAGAATTATACTCATTATCTTTAGCTTGGGAAAATTCAATACTAATATCTATAATATGGTTTGGCTCTGAGTCTCCACCCAAATCTTGTTTCTAATTGTATAAATAATCCCCATGTATCCAGAGAGGGACCTTCTGGGAGGTGATTGGATCATGGGGGTGGTTTCCCCCATGCTGTTTCGTGATAGTGAGTTCTCACGAGATCTGATGGTTTAAAAGTGGCACCTCCCCCTTTGCTGTCTCTCTCTCTCTCCTGCTGCTATGTAAGATGTGCTTTGCTTCCCCTTGGCCTTCCACCATGATTGTAAGTTTCCTGAGGCCTCCCCAACCATGTGGAACTGTGAGTCAATTAAATCTTGTTTCTTTATATATTATCCAGTTTCAGGTAGTTTTTTTTAAATAGCAGTGTGAAAACAGACTAATCCAACCTAGCACATGAATTAGTGTGTTGCTAAATTGATATCTACATGCTCAAGGGCAGAAGGGATATAAAAGGACAGCTTGAATGTGCCTTGCTTTATTTTTCCTGGGCTGCCTTTGACTGACATTCTGTCTTTGAAAGGTACCTCTGTTGTGTGTTATCCTCAATCTTTTAGGTATCATTCTTACACTCTAGAGCAGTGGACTGCAAACTATGGCTTGTGGGACAAATTTGGTGGCTGCTGCCTATTTTGTAAATATAGTTTTATTGGAACCCAGCCATGCTGTTTTGTTTACATGTTGTCTATGGCTAATTTTGTGCTACAATAGCAGAGTTGAGTCGCCCATTACACCTAAAATATTTACTATGTGGCCCTTTACAGAAAATGTTTGCCAACGGTTGCTCTAGAAGAAAATAACCTGTTACAATTTAAATTCTCATTTTCCACACTAATATGCATAACACAATCCCCAAGTAACAAATTCACACTCTCACATACATGATCACAGCTCTTAGCACAAAATTGTAAATAATAACTGCTTTCGACTCTTCATTTCAATCTGAATCCTACAAAAGATTACAGCTCCCCACTAGTACCCTTTCATATCATAGCCAAGAGTACAGGGACTTTTCCAAAGGTAGCTGGCAATATGTAATCACATAATAAAAGAACCTAAATCTTCCCCAGAGGTGGCTGTCTGCAACTGCTCCAAATACCCAGTTTTATTTCATGCTATCAGTGTCTAGATACAGAATTCGAACATAAGAATCTAGCAGATTGTTTAGGCCATACATCTTGAACAGAACACCCTTAAAGATAGAAACCCAATGGCCAACACCACATATACATCAATAAATATATGCATGCATATTTAAACGCAAAAATGCCATAAATTATTAGGAATTTCAGGAACACACAAGAAAACACCTCTCTTAGGCATCAGAGTGAAAAAGACCTAACATTTAAAATTACTAAGTTGTAGGATTAACTGCATCAAAGATTTAAAGAAAAAAAGTTATATGTTTATAACTTTTAGGTAATATTATGTAGAGAACCTTAAAACAGTAATACATAGATCAATTTTTGTTGATCAAGAAAACGATTAACTCAAAATGCCTGCTAAAGTTGGAAGAGCTCTGTTCCCTGCCTTCCTTTGGTTACTTAAAGCAGAAAATCCCAGCTCTATGCTTTAACAAATATGTCTGTAGTCCACTCATCAAGAAGAATTTGTATGTAATTGTAAAACATAAATTAAACCCAAGAAGCATTTTAATGTGTCATTTCATTTTCATTTCTCTGAATCTTATATAAAGATATAATTTTAGGCTGATAGACTTTTTGAAAATAAAATAGAAAAATAAGAGGTTTATTTCACCTTCACATGGTGTCTTTCTCATGCAGAGTTCAGATTTCCACATTTGTATCCCTTTAAAGGATTTGATATGCAGGAAAAGAAGAAAGGATGATGGTAAACATTTCGTCTTACAGGCCCCTACAGACCATCATATTCAGACTGAACAGTGGCCTAAACTTACCTTTTACTGATGTGTTCGGTGGAGGGCCTTCCATTCGCAAGTTCCACGGAGGGTCCCCCTGGTTAGCAAAGTCTCTCATTTTCAGATAGCTAATTGTAAGTCGAATGATGGATGCCTTGTCAAGCTGGCTGGTGATGGCTGCAGGAAGAGGCAACAACTTGGCCAATTCATAGAACTCAAAGTTTTCTTTTCCCCTGCGGGAGCGAGCAGCATCTCGGGATTTCTCCTTTCTCAATGCTTGTAAACTGAAATCAAAGGAGTGAGAAAGTGTGGTTTAGAATATGTGACTCTGTCATCATTCAAATACTGCTTTCTTTGTATTTCCTTTTTTCCCAGCAAAATTCTACCAAAACTATTTTAAAATTAGAGAGTGACAGTAAAATGAGTTCCAGAAAATGTCCACTAAATCCATAAACTCTAACTCTGGCCTTACATTTCACAAACTCAAGTCCAATGAGTAAAAATTGTGTTTTACTTGTTAAGGTTCTTTCCCTTCAATTGTCCATGCATTGAGGTGTATTTATTGTTTCTAAGACCTAACAGAAGGTTTGCAGGTGTGGTTTGATGTTACCAACTATAAGCGATTTATAAGTTGGGCTTACATACATGTATCTATTTCAAACTATTAATTTTGTTGATTTAACTTTCAGCTGTATGGGATCTTAATCAAAATGAACTATTTTGAAACATTGATTTGAATTATAATCTTGGGGAGCAGAAAGTAAACACAAATACAATTCACTCTGACAGAATCAACAAATATGATTTCGGCGCTCAATAAACAGTTGTGTGTGAGCACGCTCCATTAGATGAAGAAAACATCATATTTAAAAAGAAGATTTCAATGTAATTTTATAAATGTGCTGATAACTGGTTAAGAGAATATTTCTTTATTAATGATCATACATTAGTATACATTTTCTAAGATACTAGAGAATAAAATATATTGCCCAAAGAAGTCAAACTTTAGGACAATATAAATTTAATGTTGAAAGATAAAGCTCTGTATGGGTTATTAAAATTTATAAACATTATAGACATATTACTTCCCAGAAGAGGCAACAGGTGGATCCAGCATTTTCCTTTAACTATTCATGTGCGTTTCTGTTTGAAGCTTGCTTACATTGCTGAGGGCAGAATCTGGCACAACTGAAGTTGTGTGTGAGCATCTGACAGGAGTATTTCACCTACTCTGAACTGCTCTGCTTTGTGCCTGATGAGAAATAAATTCAAAAATCAGACCTCCGTGATAATTAGCTAGATCATATTTCAGTATGAAGGTACCATTATAATCATTTTTATGTATGTATTTTATTGACTTCTGAAAGCACTGTAAATATTTGAGTCTAGCATTCTTTTTTTCATTATGAAATAATAAGAGAGAAATGAGGAAGGAAGACCATAGGAAGAAATCAAAATGCGCTCAGCAGTGAGGCTCCATTCACTTTTAATATACTAGGGGGAATAGTATTCCTATTATAGGATTCCTGACATTGTTTCCTGATGGAAACACTGTATTCACTGCAGAAATCACACCTGAGGGCCGGGCGCGGTGGCTCACGCCTGTAATCCCAGCACTTTGGGAGGCCGAAGCGGGTGGATCACGAGGTCAAGAGATCGAGACCATCCCGGTCAACATGGTGAAACCCATCTCTACTAAAAATACAAAAAATCAGCTGGGCATGGTGGCGCGTGCCTGTAATCCCAGCTACTCGGGAGGCTGAGGCAGGAGAATTGCCTGAACCCAGGAGGCGGAGGTGGCGGTGAGCCGAGATCGCACCATTGCACTCCAGCCTGGGTAACAGAAGGAAACTCCATCTCAAAAAAAAAAAAAAGAAATCACACCTGAAATATCTGACTGAGTATCTATGTAATTTAAGTAATGCCATGATGCTATGGTCAGATACTTGCTAGGCTAATACCCCAACAAGTTTTATGTTTGCTCTATTAATAAAATAGTCTATATTAGCTAACACATGTCCTTCTCAGAATTAGACAAGTTAATGCTATCATTTTCAGAGTAACAGTGGTCTCAGGTGACAAAACCTTTGTCCCTTAATACATAAAGTCAGGCAGAAACATCACTAATTTACAAGGAAAAGACATGTTATATGACTTATTTCCCAATATCTGGGCCAGCCTCCATTGAATTCTACAAGTGCTCAATTTTAGCTGGTTGAAAGCTGTGTAAATGAGAGATGTCTTAGAATCTGACAATGTGTAAGTATAAGTGGGAACCACGTTAACACCTTAGGATGCAAGAATGATTCACATTTCTACCTTTACAGAATAAATGCAATTTATCTAACAACATTTAAGTTATCTGCACCAAAAGAAACTATGTCTCTCGACATGTTTTCCCTGCCACTTGTACACAGGGGAAGGAGGAGCAGTTCAAGTTCAGTGCTTTATTTTTTGTGTGTTCTTGCAATCAAACACTACTTCAAAAGGTGGCCTAAGCTTACAAATCTTTTTTGGCTCAGTAAGTGACTATGATGGAGCTCCAGAGCAGGGGTTATGAACCCAAGGGCCTTCAGGGTTCAGGCAGGGAATGTCAGTGAGTGAAGAGGCCTGATGGGGACTGGAAAGAACTGAAGGACAACTCTGGCCAAGTGGCAGCATAGTTTGAGCTGATGTCACTTTAGGGAAAGGCATGCCTGGTGCCACCACTTCTAGAGGCCAACTTCTGAACTTTTATATGACATTTCCGAACGTTGGTATTTTAATGCATTAAAGCTTTAAAAAATCATGCAAGCCAAATAAAACATGTCATGGTCAAACATGGATCAGGGACTCATTTTACAATTTAGTAATAGTTTGGAAAGGCAATTACAAAAGTAGTTTCAGGTGATGTTATATGTAATTTTCCTTTATTCATGTCACTCAGAATGATCACAAATGTATTCATTTGTTACCTGCTTAATATACCATAATATACACATCAGCAATTTATTCAACTAAAGCAAAGTAGAGGATTAAGCAATTATTCTGAAATTGATATTAATGTATAGGCTTATCAATATTCTAAGAAAAAATTTATCTTCATATGGAGACAAAGCCTAAGATCGTCATAGAGCCCAACTCAATAGGTTATAAAGGATAGATATCAGGGAGAGGGCTTTTCTCTATCCATTCACGGAAAGGGAGTAAGCAAACACTAATGCCTTTGGACATCTTGCCTAACATGTCTTCTGAAGTTTTACCACTTTTCTAAAACAGCACTGATCAGAATTTACTTTATATATTCCTATCCTACCTCCTTGTTTTCTCTTCTCCACCTTGTCTTTTTCTTTTAACTCCAACACACACGGTGTGTCCCCCTGTTAGAGTCATCTTCTTGGCAGTAATCTTAATAATAAAGGATTTCCATGACTCCCACATCACATCATTACGCAGGGACCATAGTTTAGAAGACTTTCAGAATGATATCACTGTGTCTGTAATAAGTAGTAATTGGTTTTGTGGGCAACAGCAATAATAAAGTACAGTCAAAGGATTACAGAGGTTGTTGAGATGCTGGTATAACAGATGAAGCCAAAGACCTTAAGACAATGACAGTCTAGATTGTGCATTAATCTTTCATCTGCTTTTGTAAAGAAGGGCCTAGTTATAAGCAGTTCTCAAATTGAATTAAGGACTATATTAAAACCCCAAATAAAATTTGTATTTGGACATTTTGTTCTAAACAAAAGTATTGTGGTGGTATGTCTAGAATACCAAAGAGATAATAGATTAGTTGTACACGAGTAAAATGTTATATGATTTTATATAATCTGCCATCTCAAATATGATTAGACTTCAGAGCCACAATTAGTTACTCCCTGGGCCTAAACTTCCCATTGCTCTAATGATCATGCACTTAGATTATGAATAGCAGAAAAGAGATTCTTCATTAATCCTCAGCAAATGAAAATTTCAACTCTTTTTGATGGCTGCATTATCATCCTCACAAATCATTATTACCATCAGCAAAAACAACGTCAGTAATTTCAAAAGACACACACACGTATGTATCTAGATATTATGTGCATTATATGCATTACAGCTAGTGCTCGACTTACAACCATGATTGGTTCCGACAGACCGGTCGTAACATGATTTGGTCGTAAGTTGAGTAGGCTATATGCACGCGGAGATGGTAGTGCTGCCGGAAGCTGGTCCACACTGTCGTACGCCCAGCTGGGCAACATTTGCGTTGCCAGACGCGGAGCAGTCGTAGCTAGTGATTGTGGTCGTAAAGTCTAATGGTCGTAAGTTGCATAGGTCGTAAGTTGATTAATACCTGTATTGTGTGTGTATGTGTTTATATATATGGATTATATATATACATTTAAGGATTCTTAAATGTAGTCCATCACACCAACCAAAAGGCTAATAATCGAATGCCTATCATTTTGGGTTTTTTAGATGGAGTCTCACTCTGTCACCCAGGCTATAGTGCAGTGGTACAATCTCAGCTCACTGCAATCTCCACCTCCCAGGTTCAAGCCATTCTCCTGCCTCAGCCTCACGAGTAACTGGGGCTACAGGCATGCACCACCATGCCCAGCTAATTTTTCATGTTGGCCAGGCAAGTCTCAAACTCCTGACCTCAAGTGATCTGCCCACCTTGGCCTCCCAAAGTGCTAGGATTAAAGGCGTGAGCCACCACACCCAGCCTAATGTCTGTAATTTCCTCTTATAGGAGAATGGATTGTGCAGCTAGTCAGCCTGGGTATAAATCCTTATTTTATTACTTACTATTTATATTTGAGATGACTTCTACTGCCTCAGTTTTTCTCATCTGTGAAATGAAATAATTCTCTACTTTATCAGGTTGTTGTTAGAATTAAGTTAAATGAGTTGCTTTTTTATAAGATCTTTACAATGGTGCCTGACACATAATAATGCTGTGTAAGACATGTTAAAGATGTGAAAACCTATGCTCGCTTTGCGTTGATTGTTCTTTCCTTCTAATGTTCACAACGTTCGTTAATAATTTGCACTCTCTTCTTACCAGTACAGTTCCTATTCCTTGGTTCTGACATAACGCATTTTTCCTTTTATTGTAGTCTTCATTTTGCCTATGGTCTATTCATGTATATCATAAGTGTAATTAATAAGTGGTTCAAATAAAAAATATATTTAATTAGTGGATGCTTAAAGGTTCATAAATTTTTTTACAGAGTCATAAGGAGCCATTTTTTTAGTATACTAACAGATAAAAGGTGGCATCCAATTACAGGACAGGCAATTTTGTTAATAT